AAAAATGAAAAAAGGTTACTTTACATTTAGGCTGCAATCGTTATAATTTCTCTAAAGTCTAAATACTTACCAAACATTTATAAACATTTTTATTTTATAATTATTAAACAATACTACAATATATTTCCGGGGTGCAAATTTATCATGCAATAATGGTCTAGGAAACAATTAATCAGTAATAATAAGGTCCGCAAATACTATGATATGCGTAATACAGTAGACTAATATTTGTTTTTTGTTTCTTTTTGCCATTTACAATTGCAATTTTTTAGACAAAATTGAACTTAACCTACCCTGTAGTAGTTTACCTAATGGCTAATGCCCAATAGTAAATTTAATTACCTACTTTAATCACAATGGCGTCATAAATTATAGGTACGTTGTAATATTATAGGCTGCCAGTCTTCGGTCAGAATCGTTTTTCGTATACCTTTAATGATTTGTTATCATTGAATTCAAATTTAGCACACCAATTGCAGGGACTTCTTTAGACACATAATGTATAACAGAGGGTTACCCACCTGCTCCTTTTTTTACGATGACACATATTTGTATACGTAGTATATATTTTCTATGATATACTTATGTGGAAGGGGGACCACCCACCCATTAAGAGTTTTGAAGGACCAATAATCTTCACCACTGCTTAACGATATATTATTATGGACGAGGTTCAGTGACCAGTTCATGTTTAGGAGAATTAGTAAAGTCATATTAAACGAGAATAGTATATTTTAAAAATAAACTTGTCCGCCCTGAATCTGCAATCATAGATGTGTTAGAACACTATCCGACTAATTGATTAATTGGAACAGTGCCGTATAACATTTAAAACTCATGCTTTTATAGGTGGATTCAAGAGGATGTGATGCATCCGCATCCGCATGTTTTGTCTCTGTCATACAAACTTACAACATACCTACCTAATAAATCTGTGTCGTATGATGCAGACATCATAACCAATTTTGTGTTGTTAGCTTTAATATTATGATGTAAATTATTAATTGAATTATCATCAAATTTAAATCAAAAGGAATAACATTGTGGTGGTCGGGGGGGGGGGGGACTAATTTCAATAGGCCCTCTGAAATGAAAACAATTCGAAGGATTATTGGATTATTCCAGCCCCTTGCAAATTCAACCAAATGTCCACCTATGAATTAAAGGTAAGAATGTCACCTGTGTTTGTGTATTTTACATTTTTTAAGCTAGTAATGAGATCATTTTTGAATTGCAATATTTTAAATAGGTATGTCATTCATGTTTATAACTCGATTAAAAATAAAATTTAAACCCATAAAAATGTTGTATATATTTGCCTAAAAAATTGGAACTTATAACTATTAGTATCTTAATTATTCAACTTCATTTAACTAAATTACTTCGAAATTACTTTTCTTAGACTTATTTTATAAAAATGGTTAGGTAACTTAGCTTTGCAATATTTTTTTAAAAATAAATTATTGACGTGAAAATTGGATAAGAGCATCGGATAATCGATAACCGGATACTGACCGCAATTAAGACGTTAATTTTAGCTTCAATATTATTAAGACCGCAATTCGTCTATTGCGACCGCAACTCGGACAATACCATTTTTTTAACCGCTATCGGAAGGTGGTAGTTGTTAATCTGACCCAATGAAAGATGTTGCAATGTTACTTGTAGGTATAGGCAGGTACAGTGACATATCAGATCGTTTTTTTTCAAGTAATTTTGATTCATCAACTTGTATTCTAAACCCAAAATTGTCAAAATTAAAGCTAAGTAAAAATGGATAGTTTAGTTAAAATAAATAAATTAGAAATTTAGAATTTTTTTTTCTGAAAATTCATTTTTTTATACGTAACAAATAAGGTAATTTCATAATATGTAACAATAAAATAAAAGAGGTTACCATAAAAAAAAATTAAAATTGTGTTGTGCATGCGCAAAATATGTGAGTCAAAAAAATTATAAGTCATCATAGAAATGTATAGTCTCCATTACTTTAGTTAAATGTTCCGCAAACAGAATTGAACATTATTTACAGGATAATGAGCAGGGCTAGGGACTTAAAGGATTTGCTTATTTTTATGGATTGATATAAAATGTAGTAGAGTATTATGGAAGTAAATGTCATGTAAACACGCTCAATTATAAAATTTGAAAGTGCTCTTTTCTGCGATTTTTCAAAAGAATGCTTATTTCTAATTTTTCTGATTATTTTTGATTTGTTGACCAGTTTATCTACTTTTTTTTATGGTTTTGATAGAAATAAAATTAAAAATAATTCTTATCTTATCTACGTTGACGCTTAGTCCGTCGTCTTTTCAACTATTTGTAAATATTGTTTACATTTTATTTTTCAGAAAATCTCTAGGAAAAACCACAAAATTCTTAAGGTCTCGAAAGTGAAGTTTAAATTTTTTTGTAATATAAAAATAAAGATTTTTTTTTTTAAATTTTTTTGTTTAAATCTTAGTTTTTCAAATGCTTATTTGAGTGTTTTTAATGATGTTTTTAAGAGCTAATTTTAATTATTTTAAATGCTATATGTGCCAAGCCCTGGTAATGAGTGATAAAGTGTACACTGTTTCTGCTGACATACAGTATATCCAAGACGCGTTTGTCATCTTACATTCGTTCTGTATTACCACGGAGTCTCAGGGTCATATACGGAGCACACCTAGAATTATTTTTGATTACTTTTCAAAATATATACTAATAATCTTCGGCTTGCTACATAAGAACCTAGGTATGTTGTAAACTATCGAAGAAGTCTCGTTTCTTTGTTTGCTTGGTGTATTGCTACTAGGTCATCGGTAAAGCAAAATATATTTAATAACATTTTATTACAATATATGTTAAATTGTACCAACTCAGTATAACCATTAACTATAAGTCTATTCACTATTCTCTCATCTAATTCTCCCATTTTCTATTAGTCAGTTGGTTGTCATTAGTCATTACTCATTAATCATTATTTATTCACCAGACGCATGCACTGTAGGACGAAGGTACAAGGCACCAGAGATGGACAACATTTTATAGTTACAGCAATACTACTTAATAATATATTTATAATTTTTATTTGTTTAATAGTGACCCCCACCCCTCTACGTTTTACAGAGATCAGAATTATATAAGTTTCCCGGGCAGCCAAAATTTTAAATAGATACCTGGGACCCTACTTCTGGTTAGGCATTTTTATACTCAATACTATACGTCTTATTGTAGATACCTACAGTTAGTTATAGATAATTATTTACTACCTACCTATTCATTACTATTCGCATCCAGTTTCTGATCGCTTTTGTTAGTAGTAATTATTTATTACATACTTATAACCAGAGCTATGAATTTAAGATTTTTCGTGTTTATTTCTGATAGTTTTAAGGATTTAAGTTTAAGATCAAAGTTTGTTTTACATAATTGCCTACTATAGCATATGAAATTATTTTTTTTTCTACATACGTTTGAAGATAAATATTTTGTCAGGTGAAAATTAAAATTAGAATACCTATTAAGCACATCTGGTCAGTGGCGACTTGCTCAAGATCATAGGAAGGAAGTTTTGGGTCACTCCATACACGTATTATTCAATCAATCGGTATTAACCGTCCTAAATATTGTAATTTTTAATCACGCCACTGCAAGCTCGATACCGCCTGCTTGTTCAAGCCAGCCATGCAGTAAAGGTATAACATAATCCCCATAATTTGTTAGAATTAATTTATATATTGTAAAATAAAACATACGTGATACTAGAAACGATATTTGTTCTAAATAACTAAAAACAGTCCGTCGAATACCGGCGTACATTCTCAATACTCAATGAATAGTTGAACATAGTTGAATGGCCAACTTCACGGGCATGCCATTAAATATAAAATATGTGTAAATAATATTTATATTAGTTAGTAGTTGTTTTTTAAACTACTTATAGCCCCTTTTTATCAATTCTATTAAATAGGTTCTTAATACCGTTTAGCAATATGAGAAACCCAGTACCTGTTACATACTATTTGTAAAACTTGTTGTTTCACATAACTAACATCGAAGTTCCATACAGTAAATTCCAAAATAATATTATATTGAATTTTAAATGTGTGCTAATAAGCACAAATACAAGTTCAAAAAACTGTATTTATTACATCGACATTTAATGACTGTATAAATATTTAGATTTGTGATATGGATGAAAAATTTTATATCATAAAAATGTCTTTTATAATTTTAATTATGTATATAAATATTTATTAAAACATTGTTCATATCTAAATAATATGTTGTATAGTACTAAAGTCGTGAATAGTTCTTATGATGATAAACTTTCAAATAAAAATAAAATGTTCAATAGATGAAATAATAGTACGTGAAACTGAAATCAATTTATAACAATAAAAAAATTAACAATTACGAAGAATAAATTAATAATAATAATAATAATACTATATAAACAAACATGGGAATAACAGAAGTAGTTTACATCTACCCAAAAATAAATAATATAGTGTTATGTTTCAAAACAAGATTTAATTTTAATATAAATATTTATTTTTCATCGACAGCGTGTTATACAAGCTGAAGACATTTATGTAAAATTAAAATTTTAATTTACATAAATTACTAGGAAGGTAGTTAATTTACTAAAATGTTGTCTTATACATTTTTTAATTTTTCATAACAATATTAAAATAACATTGCTTTCATTAAGTCTAAAAATAAATTAATTTATATAAAAAAAAGAATAAGCACAGATATAGGTATTTTATAATTATTTATAAATTTAAAATAATTTTAACCTCATGTTAATCACTTTACTGGTGCAAATCATATAAAAATGTACTTTTAAGTTATAAATTAAAATATATAAAATCATATCAATACTAGTACAAATACTGGAATGTTTTTTCACTTAATAGTTTTTTTTTTAATTTAGGAATGTATTTTTTTAATATATTTATGATAAGTGATCTTATATTAGTTTTAGTTAAACATGTTTGATATCACATAAATTAGTTGCTCTTAATTTCTTTAGCTGCAGCAATATATATTAAATTAGTTTTGAGAATTAGTAGAAACAAATTACTATTAATAAAAAATTATTATGTTTTTACCATATTATAAACATAAACAAATAATATGTAACAAAATTATTAATCAGAATTAAATAGCTGCAGGTTGGACATAGTTAGCTGGTAGCATACCAGATTCACCTGTCCTTTGTACAACACCAGTCATCCAACCATCATCTATAGCGGCACAATTGACAATTAAATCTCCATCAGTAAATGAAACTTCGTCCAGATCTTGAGCTTCATAATCGTACATAGCTCGGTACACTCTCTATTAATAAAATATATTAATTAGATTATTGTAAAAAGTATTGGTTGAAGAAATAATGAACACATACCCCAAGGTTATAGTTTTGACTTTCAGAATTGTTAGTATACTTAACACCAACATATGACGGTTGTTTTTTGATAGGATCATAGTCAGCTATTGAACCAATGTGATTGTTGTATGCACTGTTAACTGTAAATGATATTATATAAAATTGTATTAATAAATTACCATATTTGTATGAGTTTAATAATATTTGTCATGTGTTACATAGTGTATGTTGTGAACAAACAACATTGTACACTGTTAAAATATATGACTACATGGTTAAACTTTAAAAAATATTAAAAACCTCAACTAATGTACAACTTACTTAAATCTCCACTATCAGATGAATAAATTAAAGTAGAAGATTGACGATTTAAACATGCAGGAATTTTAGCTGAAGTGTCTTCTACTCTAGGATGATGCTGTGTATTTTCAGCTTTCTGAGGCACATATCTTGTGTTTCCACCGTTATAACTTTGCTGTACTTTATTTGGTTTAACAGTGTTACTATGATCGATTTCTTGAATTGTTTTGTTTACAATGACATTTTTTTCTATTTAATGTAAATACATAATAATATTATAATTTAAATTAACTAAATAACTTTATTTTAATTTATTACTTAATGGTTCATTATTACTTGCTGCGTTGTTCCCATTAGATAAATGCCTACGTTGTTCCATCTCTGCTTTCTTCAGAAAATCTCCATGATACTCGGCATTACTAATTTATAATAAAATAATAAGAATGATTAAAATAAATTATGTTCATAATGAAAGCTACCTGTACTACCTTATGTTTTTTGAATTAGCTTTTATCCGCAATGTTTCTGGGTCATCTGCAACTTGTGTTAATTTTCCTTTAGTCTTCTCAAACTCTGCATGATATTGCGCCTACACAATATAAAATGTATAGATAGTTAACTTTTTCATTTTTATTTGTAATACTACAAATTTAAAAAATAACATAAATACTTCTATATACATTATAACAAAAATATAAATAATCAAGCAATTCTACATTTTCAGGCAAAATTAGATTCATTAAGTATTTAACTATTCAAACACAAGTAACGAAATAATATAATTACATTTCAGTCTTAACAATATTATTACTGAAATACTTTTGAGTATAACATAATATCTAAGCTTTATTTTAAATACATTTTTAGACAACTAATTTTGAATCACTTACGGCAAGTTGTCTATCCATAAAGATGGCATGAAATAATTGTTTTCATAAAATAATGATTGAAACATATTTTTTCCAATAACTTAAATTTAAAATATTTGATGTAGAAATATACTTACATTTGATTGTAATCTTGTATTTTCAGCAATTCTTTTTAACTCTGGTGTTTCAGCTACAGTTGTATGTTTGACTTTTGGAATATGTCTGAAATATGTTTTGCCGTTTATTAATTAATAATGAATAATAGACATTAGACATGCAGTCGATAGCATCAAATACAAGAGAGATAGGATTCCTTTCATTTCCATTTCCTACTTAGAAAGTTAAAGTTAAGTTAATTTCAATTCATGTTTACTTTGTATGTAAAAAATAATGTAATGTAAATATGTTTAAAATAATCTAACCCAACTCGTTAAAAACAATGAGTAACTAGTTGTTTTTGTAGTTTAAACTATAAAAAAAACATTGTTTTAACTTTTACTCTTACTTAAGTTACTATTTTCACCAAACTAACTTCTTACTAACTAAATTAGAAATTAGGAGCATTTCTGAAACTAACTTATATTCTAACTTAGTTTTTGTATGAAAGTAACTTAACTTAAACTAGTTGAAAAAATGACTAACTTGCCCATCTTTGCAATTTTCAAAGAAAAATTTATAGATGTATTAAATATTGTAATTTAAAAAATGTTGATTTTAAACTAAGTACTACTACATTTGATTACAATGACGTGAGCGTTATGGTAGAATCCAGTGGACAATGAAATATTAACAAGTATATATTGTAATATTATTGACAAACTTATGAATATTGATGAAAAAGTGTTGTATGGATTTTTTTTAGGACCACACCCTCAAAGACTACATTGAACATTTTTGTAGCAACATAGTTTGAAAAATTTTCCCTGTCCTTTTAAATTTTTTTTAGATCAGCTACTTCAAAATTACAAAATAATAAAAAAAACTAATGATAAATTTTAAATGTTAAATATTTTTGGCAATACATTTTTTTTATAATATTATCCAAAAAACTTCTAACACTCAAATTTAATGCTAAAAACGCTGTTGAAAAAAATGTTATATCAAAAATTGTATATGGCTGCTCACGAATATAATATATTAAGTACTTAATAAAAAAATATTTAGATATTAAATTATTTTATTGATTTATTAAGTCTATTATTTTATATCCACAGGAACAATTCTTAGTTTTGTACTTTTTGGTAATATGTTAAAACATTTAACTATTTTTGCTTTATAATTTATTAATGTCATAGAAAACAATAAAGTTTTAATGTTATATTATAATATTGGTATAAATACGACTTTTATTTACTTATATAGACATTGTTATATATGAAAATACTTTGTATACTAATTTTATGGACAAAAACTTTAACAAGATTTTAACTATTCAAAATATATTCAATAAATAATACTTATAATATTATATATGTTTAAAACAATATGAATATACATTTTAAAAACATATTATGCAAAAAAACAGATAACCCATAAATAAAATTGATAGGTAGTATTAAATTACTGCTATTAAAATATTATGTGATTATAAGATTAGTGTATACTAGTGCATATTTTGATATCTTTATGACTAAAAACATAATAGCCTTCAGTTGTAGCTATCCATTATACAATGATGAACGTGGTTGTGTATTATATAATATGATCAATATACATTTTATTTGTTTTATTGGCAATTCTTAATTCAAAAAGTAAAAATCTGTTTATTAAAATCACAGATTGAGAAAAAAGTTAGTTTTAAAATACCTATACAACTATAAAAAGTAATAAACCAATACAATTAATATTTTAATAATTTAAAATTCTTTTAATTCAAAAATCATTTACTTTTTAAGTGTAAGCTTTTTTATTATTACAATTAGACTACAATGATTTTGACAAGAAAATATGTAAGTAAACACATTAGTCAGAAATATATTAATTGTGTTATTGTATGTAAGGCTATTTGCATGAACATACAATATCACAAGGTTGCCAATTATTTCAAACTTAACACACTTATCTATTAAATATATCATTTACAACTACTAAAATAAGATCACAAAATTATCAAAAAAATGTCCATATCATACTTTAAATAAATTTGTAAATGCAAATAGTTGCTTAGGTACATATACCCAGTTAAACTGATAATAATTGAATGTTAAAATATTTATTTAATATATTGTATTAAATAAAAAAAATATGTATCACCAATACATCAAATAAAGAACCTAATGTTAATCAATTTAGTTATTAATTACCTATACTTTACAAATCAATGAAATTATTTAAGTATTTATAAATTTAACCCGTATACCTATTGTTTTTAGGATTATTTTTTTAAACAATATATATAAGTTTAAGGTAAGATAAGGTACTTTGTGGTATATTTTTATTTAGATTCCTAGATGGCTAAGTTAAAAGTTATAATTTTAATGATATATTTCATCCAACTTTGAATAAAGCCTTAACATTAAACAATGAAGAATTAGTCTACGACAGAATCAGACAATATGCTTGTAATTAAATTTAATAATTTATTAGATAAATCAGAACCTACCCTTGAAACAGATTAAAGACTTTTCATATTAAGCTTTAATTGTATTAAAGTACCTAAAAAGTATTAAATTAGTAGTGATTCCCATCTTCTGGATTAATTTAAACTTAGGTAATATTACGTTGAATCAAGTTTATGCAAGCTATATTATTATTTCAGGAATATGGGTTGATACATTAATATAAAAATGATTATATTAAAGGAACATTTTCAGCTGTATTTTGAAACTTCTGTAATTCTATGAATATTCTGACTTTTAGTATTAAGTCTGTTCAATAATTTACTTGACTATATTACGTCTTTATGAATAGGTTGCTAAAATATGGTAGTTTAACCAAAAATACTTTTTTTTTAAATAAAATAAATAATTATCACAGATTAAATAAAAACAAATTAATAGGTATACTATACACACATTTAAGTTATCTCTCAAGAAAAATATCGGTAAACAAATAAAACTAATTGTAATGTAGTCTTTATCTATTTGTTTTTAACTGTTTTATAGTCCTTTTGAATTGGCTGTAGCTTTGTGATTATCTATTATTATGATTTATGATCACGTATTATATTAATTATTTCAATATTGTATTGTTACCAAAGATTCTACCTAGCAATATATAAATAAGTTGAGTATGTGATAAATAAAAAAAACAGTATAAAGTACTCACGCTTCACAGTAAGGCTCTTTATTGAATCCCTTGTAATTTCTCATGTTTAATGTCATGCCACAGGACTGGCATTTGAAACATTGTTTGTGCCAAGCCTATTAATAATATAAAAATAAGAAAATTTAAATTAAATTTAAGTCTGCACACTTAAGTGTATACAAAACTTTCTGGAAGAACAGAAATAAGTGGGTTGTGTAGTATGGAACAATTAATGTACCTTATCGAGACATTTGAGCTCTTCAATAGGGTAAACAATTTTCTCACATCTGGCACACTTTTTGTTCATCTTATAACCGTCGCCAAAAATAAGACAGAATAGCACAGTGACACCCGTTCAAGACAATAATATGATAACCGTTGATGCAGTTTATTGTAGATATATGATAGACATACAATACCACTACTGTAACACAACAAAACTTGCTGGATTAGATTTTTGGGTTCATAAGAACGTACTGCGTATAGTACCTACACAGTGAACGAAAAGATTATTAAAAAATATAAATAATAATATAACACATAAATATTAGTACGTAAAAAGTGTCAGACAAGAAATATCGTAATATTGGCCAGAGTCCTGCCAAAAGTAGTTGGATAGAATGATGTAGTCACTCACCAGACGAAAAATTCGAAACGATATTAGGTATATTATTCGATGTTCTTTTGTGATAGTTGGACACCGCTCTTTAATGTTTTAGATTGCTCTGCGTCCGAATACAACTGTTGAATCGAGAGCGGAATACTTATTACCTACACGGCACTAACACTAATAATAATATTGATAATGGAACGGTGCGCCCACAGTGTCTGTACAACAGCGATGGACCAATATCGTTATAATATTATTATTATAGATATAGTTGAATAATGATGATAATAATAATATTAATAATACGATTTTCCCTTTCACTTCTGTTTTACACACCGTGCCCGATGATCTCATCCGGTCAAAAGGGTGGGGGCGGTGGGTGGTGTCGGTGACTGCGGCGGCGGCGGCGGCGGCGACGGCGGCGATTGTGTGTAGCGTGTACACATCAAAATGATCGAATACCTAAGCACGGACCGCCGCCCGCCGACGCCCGACGACCGCGATTTTGCTGCAGTCAGTACGGGGCCGGAGTGACGAAGGTATGCTCGTTCGTCGCACAGGAACGCGTACCGATTGGAGAGATTGCAGGCGGCGGCGGCAGCCGATGAAAAACGGTGTCGACCGATTCGTTTTGAGATAGGTATAATGAATAAAAATAATATTATGCTTAGACCTGCCGCCCGATTTGTCCATACAATTATGTCCACTGCCTTCAAGTCCCCCGATAAAAACGTCGAACAATGACATCTAATTTCCATGTCAAATAATAATAACCAAATAAATACATTTTTATAATAATACACGTACCTATAATACATCTTTACTCTCTAGCTATATCATACATGCAATTGCACTGCTTCAAGCGTTTACAATAATGGCATGGGTGCAAATTTGTATTTGTTATAATATTATATCGTAGTCATTATGATAAATGTATTACTAAGACATAGTTTTCATTAGTATAATACATAATTTATTAAATGATATGTGATTGTTTATATTAAGGCCCAACAAACATTATATTTTCAAGGAATTTTGTTTAGTCAATTATTTCCCCCCTTGCGGTCACTGCTCGTCTTTGTGTGTAGTGCCTAAATGATCATTATTGTGCATAATTATACTTCACACCAATCACCCGTATGGCCGTATCATACATATTATACAATCTCATGCATATTTGACATATTTCATGTTTAGATCAAAACTATCAAAATCAATTTATTTACTTGAAATAGCACCTGACAAAATTGTAAGTACTTCCAATGCGTATCTATAATTTTTGAACGCATAAACAATGTATTACTTTGCATTGATCGGAGCTTTTAAATTTTAGTAAATTCAATAAACTATTATAAATGCTGAATATTTGCTCTGACCGATGCGATGCAAGCCAAACTTTTTTCCGAAACAAAATTTTTTTAATTTTTTAAACTGAACCATTGGGTACCTCATTTTTGTTAGTCGATAAGGTCGTTTTAATAAAACATTGTTATAGTTTGCAGGGGCTTTAAAAAGTTAGTCTAATGATGGAGTAAAACGAAGTGGCTCGTGGGGGGGGGGGCCTCCATGTACCATACATTTAACCCAAATTGCGCCTATGTATCATAGTGAAGTTGAAACAGTTTTAAAATCCACGGGTTTCTAGCCAGTAACTGTACTCTTACTGGTAAATGAAATAATTCAAAAATTAGTATGAAAGTGAGTATCTATGCAACTATTAGCCATCATACACAATATAGAATGAAGTCCATACTTACGTTTCAAACGTTTTGTAACCATCACGATTGAATATATTTATTTTTATATTATCTTTTTTAAATCTTTAATCGTGCTAAGGTGAAATATACATGAGGTGAAAGTCTATGTACATTTATATAATAAGTTAATTTAACTGGAAAAAAAGACTACGGTTGTTGAATACCTATGTCTAGGTACCTAAGCATTTTGGTTTTTCATGTATGAATATTTGTTCGAGGTATACTTACCTATGTGGCCATATGTTAGGAATGAAATTCGATACCTATCTATGAATGAACGGGAATTTGTAAGAATTTTCCTAAGGACAATTGTTTTAACTGTTTTAATTGTTAATAGGTTGTTTGATGTTTTAGCATCGTCCCACAATTGAAAACCAACTATGTTCAATTAATACCTAATTACAATTAAATTTATTTTTTACCTAACGAAAACTATGGGCACCTTTGAAATTTTGGAATATTTAAGTCCCAGATCATAGCTCTATATTTTAGCCCGTATTTTAATTAATATTACTAGAGTAAAATGTATTTTTTTCTAAAATATGTGGTAAAAATAAATCATCATCGTGATAAAAAAAATAATAAAATATAAAAATATATTATTAATTTGCTTGGAATGACTTATTATGATTATAACTGATAGTGTTATTGACTACAGAATTACAAATAATCAATAGACTGCAATTATCTGAGAAATAGGTATTAGATTCAAGGAAGTATATAACTTGGTACTAGTAATTATGTACCATTACCACCGATTAAAATGTACATGCTTTGTTCAGAAATAGGCCCAACAATATTGTAGGTACCCCCCGAAATTCAGGTCTGAGCACGCCTGATTAATTGCTCTTTGCATGACTGCATCTGACTAGAGTGACTAGTAAACTAGTTTAATATTGTTTAATTTGTGTGGTGGTTGTTTTTTTTTTGTTGCTACAGTTTGCATTAAAAATTAGATACCTATATAAGGCTATAATACGGCTATACAACTGCAATTTTCATCTTTTTAATACTTCAAAGTTTAGACCCATTCAGCGGTGGTCAAATGGCGAGTGAGTGAGGGGGAGGTAGATTCCCATGATCTTTTTTAAATGTTGAATATCTGATAACCATAAATTATATTTTTAATAGTTAAATACTGCATGATGTTGAGAAATCCCCCCCCCAGCATGACAAATAGTAATTTTTTAAGAGTGACTTAAAATTTTATTCTAAAGCGTGATTATTTTATAGATAACTGTTTTTTGTCGAGTGTTGTAATTAATAATAAATAACAATCTAAAAATTATTTTACTTGTTTATACTTGGGAAATAGATACCTAAATCTATTATAATTCATACAAGTTGTATCGGCCACTAATACTTACATGTAAATAATATTCTGCTATGTTTCTTAAGTTATTAAAAATATGCGATAATACAATATTATTGTAACATACAACTTAGTACCTACTGCAACTTTTCAAGTCTTTCATTCATCGATACATAATATTGTACAATTTTAAAATTTAGTGGGTAAGTGGTTCAAATGTTATACAAAGGCATGTTTAGGAGTATTAAATAAAAGGGGGATGACTGATGACTGTTTAGATAGTTTTCCAATAGCAAACCCAAGTTTCGTCCGTTGAACATCTTACAGAGTTTGGTTCTTCCTTTCCGCCAAAAACTAAATGTTCGTTTCCATCAAAACAAAAAAAGTTCGTTGATCGAGTTCATTACGAAGTATAGAAATAACAAGAAAAACCGCAGATAATTCTTAACCGATGATTAGAAGACTATATACAGAAGACAAAATTAAATCAATAGATACAAACAATAGTGATAAATAACAATTTTTGGAGGTCAATACCTCTCCATGGTAATCGCTGGAATGCTGGATAGTTCTCAATATTACCAGACTTATAATTCTGAAAAAAAACTGATATTAGGTGACAACAAAAAATTAATCTTTTTCCATATTTGCGGAAACGAACAATTCTCATAACACGTAGGACTTTTAGGACTAAACAGCTGCTCAGAAGATACTTGGATATTATATTATATTATATTATATTACATTATATTCCTTAGATATTAAAGCCTATTCTGTAAAGGTAGGTAATTTAGAATACACTCTGTGCAGTCAATATATATTAATAAACTACTTAAGTATTAGGTACTCTGAGAACTGTATGATATACTAGATAGTGTATTATCAGTTATCAATGACGGTTATCACTTTATTATAACCTGCCAACTTAGTACTTGGTAAGTAAAATATTATTAATACAAACTTATATAATATATAATATACAAGATTATACAACCGTCTATATATTTTATTATTATAGCATAGTTCAGCTACATTATTTCTATATGTTTGACCAGCTAATAGCTATTCGGTACAACAGCAATACTGCGATAAATTCAAGGCTGGTACTTAAAAGCTCTATTAGTGTAATGGTCTATAATTTTTTAATAATACTATTATTCAAAGGACGAACCTACCAAGTACCTGCTCTCCCCCCTCCCCCATCCACACTAACTCTAAACATAATATATTTATGTCTTCACTAAACCATTAATAGCATAATATGCCTAACAAACTTAGTTATTCATTATCTCATTATTATATAAGCCGCCTTTCTATATATCAATAGGTACCGACAATACCTAAAAAAGTTAATAATTTCTTAATATACGCATCCACTATACTGGATCCATTTAACGTAAAACACTCATTGTTTGATATTTCAAAAACTATTAGGTAACCATTTTAAAAGTAGTTTTTTTGCATAATTTTAAATGGTTAAAAAAATATTTCCGCAATAATTATATTTTTAAATTGTTAACTATTTTTTATCTTTTCAAAATTTAAATTTTTCTTGAAGTAGTTATACTTTAATACCGTATTACCGTATAAGTGGGTTTTTTGGAGCATCTGCAACTAAGTATGTACCGTTTTCGCAGATTTAAAAAAGGTTTGTTACTCATTTAATAATTGAATTGACGAAAATTTTGTTGAGTAACATATTTATTCACTACGTCAGTGTAAGTGATTAAAAATAAGATCATTATTGCACTTAAAATATTAAAAAATATGGTTTTTGGTTTTAGGCGTAACTTTGGACACTATATTTTTAATTGCTTTATTAAATATAATTTTATTTGTTATCATAAGATAATAGAAAAGAAGTAATATTTTTTTAGTTTGACCTTAAAAGTTACTTTCGTCTTACTTATTTTATATTGATAATTCTTATGACATAAAATCATGAATATTTTAAATTACAATATAGAAGATTACATTTTTACTTCTATCTTCACTTAATAACCGATATACTTAATAACACGTTCCTATGTAAAATGTTGTAAGAAAAAAATGGGTTCATATGTTTTGAACCAAGATTTGAACAAGCCGGAGAAGACTCAAAGTGTTTCTGCAAATTGAAATACCCCAATACACGCCCTTTCAATGATAACTTGAGGCAGCTACAAAAATAAGTATATAAAATCAGGAATTCAGTATACAAGTTTAAATTAAAATACATATTAAAGTATATACCAAGAGACAACCTTTGATATGAGTATTGGCCACATACAATGAACATTT